AACATCAGCCTCTTGGAACTATCATATAGGAAGCTTGTTTTTAAGCATATTTTAATGAATTAATAAATATTTATCTATTTTAATTAACATTTATTGTGTTTTTTCCTGTAAACTGCCCAGAGTCACTCTGTGGTGAGATGGGCAGTGACAAATTTGGAATATATATCTATATAAAAATAAATTTATATAAATATATATTGCCTTTAGCAATGCCTAAATGCGTAAAATTCCATTGCAGTTTGCCAGTGCGTAAACCGCAGAAACAGTTTATTTCTTATTCTGCACCAGGAGCCCTTGGGCCAGGCTGAGCCTGCCCCCTTTTTTTTAATTAAAAAAATAACAGGCATCTCCATTTGCACGGCGCCTATTTTGGTGCAAATAACAAGAGCTCTTTTTTCGGCATTCCTCTTCTGCTGCCTTGAACCAGCCGGGTCAGTCAGCTGAGGCTACGTTCTCACCCTGTTAAGCCTGAAGTTTTGTGCTCATGCCCCGTTTCTCCTCTTGCCCAGGTGAGTGAATACATCTCACGGGCAGAGCAGCTCAAGGTGCTGGTCGCATCAGACAACAAAGCTCTTTTGCAAAAAGGCTGTCCTGGTCGGGACATTTTAAAAGGTAATTTGCAAGGGAGAGAAGCTGAAGTGGGGTAGTGCCCTCAGGGCCTTGCTTGAAACAACATATTGTTGAGAATAAGCAAGTGGGATCTGCTGCAAAACGATGCCATGTGGATTCTTCCTGCTTGGTGTCCTTGCCGAAGGATGCTCCGTTTTTTCTCTCCTTGTGGCCACCTTTCCTTTTCATGCCCTATAAATGGGCTCAGTGCTCTCTGAGAGCTGTTTTTACCCTCTGCCCTGTTTGGGGTTCTTTTCTCCCCCACTTCGAAAGGCTCCCTGGTGTGCATCGGGGCGGCGAACTGCAAGACACGCAGCCCAAATACCAGGAACCCAGTGAAGGTAGCTGCAACTGTTTTGAAGTCAAGGGAAGGGAACACCCTTGAACATCGACGCATTAGTGGGAACGAGGGAGTTGGGCCTAAAAATTCACAGAAGGGTGGACTTTGAAGAGATCACCGGAAAGAAATGAGATGTTGCAATGAGATCCTAGATATTTGGGGCAGTAGTTCTGGTTGGAAGACAAGGGCAAATGGGAATGTTGGCCCTAGTATTCTTTCATCCAATGGATATAGCAGTGGCTCAGTGTGGTCGGTAAGTAAGGGGAAAGCCCACTTTAGTTTCTTGTGGTCTTTTCGTCATCGTAAGTGGTCTGCACGTACCAGCCTCGCCTGCCCTGATGCCTTCCATGTGCCCGTCCCGTCTAGACTGGCTGGAGCGATGGATAGCCACATCTGGCACAGCTCCATCAGCTTTCCTCCTTCCCCTGAAGGTGGTCCTAAAAACTTGCCCTGTCCATCGTGTTGGAGTGTTGAGGACCACCAGAGGGTGCTGCTTCACAGCCTCTGAGTTCTCCAAAATCATTCCCTACAATCCCTACAATCATTTCCTACATTCCCTACAATCAAGATGCCTCCTCTGTTTCCTAAAATTTACTATTTTAGGAGAGAGCCTGGAAAAGAGAGGCATGTTGTGTTTGCCTACATTGTAGGTTTCCAAGAGAGCCAATAGATTTCGGGCGGGGGGGGGGTTGCCCAAGAAACATTTTCTTTCCAGCACCATGCTTAATCCTTGATACCTCGTTTTGTTGTGTTGCTACTTCCCCCATTTTTAGACGGGCAAGTTGAGGCTCCGTAGGGCCGTGTTTGGCTTGGAAACCTTTTTTCAAGGCGCAGCTGTCTTCACGCTGACTGGGACTATTTTTACACAGAGGACACCTTTGGGAGGGCGGGAAGAGACAGAGAGGAGAGGGAGGAGGAAGAAAGGTAAGAAGAAGAAGAGGAGGAGGAGGAGGACCAGTTTCCCTACACCTCGCTTTCTATATAGGAAAAAACAGCTCCTAATCTCCGCCCACCCAAACCCCCAGGAATTTTGTCTTTCTTCCTCTGCAGCTCAGCAGCAAACCCTTTTTCCTTTTGTTTCAGAGATGTCCAAGGACAAACCTCGCCTTTACACTGCTCTGGAAGTAGCATCGGCTGCTGTGGCTAAGGTCAGATGCGGGGGGAGCCCGGTGGGGTTTCCTTGGTTGAACCGGGGAGCCTGCAGTTACTCTCCGCTCAAAGGCGACAAGGGCTCTGCTTGGCACATGGCCGGCTGCACTCCCAAATGAACCGAGTCGTGACTTCTTTGGCTGGGGAAGGGTCCAGGGGATGACAACGACGACATTAAATTTATCTCCGCCCATCTCCCCTAATGGGGGACTCTGGGCAGCTCACGGAGTAGAACCTTCTAACATTTTACAGCTTAACATTTTGCACCGTTTACCTTAACTATCTAACTTATTTAACTAATTTAAGGGAAGAAATGGGGGTCCGAAGCCGCTTCAACTGCCCCTCAGTCCAGAAATGCAAAAATAAGGGCCAGATGTTGGTGGGGGGGCTCAAAGGGAGATGGGTTAGCCCCACTTTTGGCACCTGATGTAAATGATGGGAGAGGCGTTTCATGGAACTTTTTGCTCTAAACCTGTTCAGCCAAGACTTTGCACCCCCCGCCCCGCCTGTCTGCTGTTGCAGCCTCCTCAAGTGGGAATGCGTTCAGTGGCACTCAGAAAGGAATTGAGGCAACGGCGTCCCCCTGGTTAACTCAGCATTGTGTGAAGACATCTGTCCTTTCTCCCTCCTAAACCCCCGCCCTTAATTTTATCCAATGACCCCACGTTTTGAGAGGGTGAGGAAGAGAAGAATGAGAGTTTGCTATCTCTCTTGGCTCCAGGAAGAGGAAGGCAAAGATGACAGTGAAACGCTTGATCTGTATCAGCAGAGCTTGGGCGAGTTGCTGCTGATACTGGCTGGTGAGTGAAAAGTTGGCCGTGAGATACCAGGAAAAGGCTGGAGGGGGCGGGAGAATGGCTGGAAATGACCAGGTGTTGCTTCTGAAGCACATGGGTTTGTCAGGGATGGAGACACCCAAGTCCTACTTGATGCTACTGCACGGGGACCCTGGGAGGTGTAAAGGGCAGAGGGAGGAAGAGCCCTTGATGGACAGGAGGAAGAGCAACTGCCAAGGCAACGGGCAGATAAGAGAAGTCTAAGTCCGGGCCAGTACTGTAACCTGAGTAAGCGTCTCAGATGAGCCCCTCCTTAGTTCACATGAAGATGGAGGGAGGGAGGGGGGAAACACACACAGAGTTGCAAGTTTCTGCTACTCGCTCTGCAGTAAAAGTAGTACTGACCTACCTGGCATGGGTTTCCTAGTCTGGTCTACCTTGCAGGGCTGACAGGAGGTAAGCTGGACAAGGCAGACTCAGATTCAGCCCCAAGCTCTGTAGCTTAATTTATCTTATTGCAATATTTCTGCATCTGGATATTTGGGAGAGCTTTGGGCTACATTCATGCTTTGCATTAAACGGTTGCACGGCATCCTTGATTTAGTTGCAGGATATTGTGAACCTGGTTATCGTGGTCGGTACACTGTGCTTTATGACTTAGCAGGCTGTGAGAACCCAGCCCATTGTGGCTTAGTCAACCACCCATGCTTAAAACAAAGAAAGGCTTACTGTGATGTGTGAGCTCAAGTTGAGTAGATATTGCTGAACTCAATGGGTGAATATCCAGGGTCTGCGTAAGGCAGTTTTAGAAATGCAGCTTCTTTTGAACTGGAGACAGGTAAGAAGCAAAAGGAAAGTGAGAGGGGCAGTGTCTAAATTCGAAATATAAATAAATAAAAATAAATAAAAAGTCGAGGAACCAGGAGACAAATCCAGTAAATAAACTTAACCTCAATCTGGTGTCTTCCAGATAAGTTGGAGTACAACTTCCATCACCCATAGGTCTCGGCTGTGCAGAGATTCATACATTTTATTATGTTTTTAAAAAAAGTTAAAATACAGAAAAATCAAGAAAAAGGAAGGAAAAAAAAGAAAGAAAAAGAAGCGGGGAAGGAGGGGGGGCATAAGAACGAAAGAGGAGCTTCCGACTTTCCTTGGCACAGGTACAGATATAGAATATATTTGCCTCTTACTCTAATATCTAAAAGTTTACATAGTAAAAAATAGTTTTTAATCTAATATTCAAGAAGATTCCTAAAATCAATCTATTTGGATAATACATATAATTTGTACAAGCTATTTCTGTAAGTATAACATCCATCAGCAAATCCCAAAATCAGAGTTGGGTTTTCTGAGTATCAAGCAAAAAGTCTAAGAGGAGTTTCCAAGTAGAGACAAAATTAGTGCCCTCCCTTTGAGGAGAGCAGTGAGTTTCGCCATCTCTGCCACTTCCATTGATTTCAATATCCATTCCTCAGCAATAGGTATTTGTAAATCCGTCCATTTTTGCGCGTGTAAGAGTCTCGCCACAGTCTGTGCACAGAGTCAGACTGGAAGGGCAAAATGTTCTTGCTGGGAACACGTTCAACCAAGCATGCAACATTGGGAACACATTAAACCAACATGTCTTTAACCAGGATCGCACATCAGCTCCCGAGAGCAGCTGCATGAGCCCAGGAAAAGACACAATTGCTTTAAGGTGTTCCTGATGGCGATATGCGCAGCGCATCTGCCTTGAGTTCCTCTGGACTGAGGCAATAGGTAAATCTCATAAATAAGTCACATTTTATCTTTCAAATCCAGATCTCTGAACAGCCCTATAATGTTGCTGTAATTGGTAGGCTTATGACCTGACTCGCTGCATTCATTTTTCAGTTTTTAAGCAATGAAACTCCGCCCTTTCCCCTTTCTCTCGTTTCCTAAATCCAGCGGAACCTGCAGGGAGAAGACGGGAGCTGCTACACGCCGAGGTATCTTCTGGGTCTCTCGCTGGAACAGAATCTGGGGCCCTACAGGACAGGCAGGGCTGTGGCATTCAAGGGAAAACCCCTGTGTCAGGAGCCACAGTTCAACAGCACACACGCGGCATTCGCTATTGTTGGTTGAGAGTGGGTGCATCGCATGTCTGCATGTGCCCCATATAAAGAAGAAAACCCTTGTGTAGAAAGGCTGAATGCATGTGTTCAGCAATGGGACTGCCACGAAGCATTGCAGCATGAGGAGCCTTTCCGTTCTCCAGTCACTTCCATGCTCCTCCTTCTAGACTCCATTCCATTCTTCTTCCCGGTACCCGTTTATCTTCTGCATGCATTTTTTTTTTGGCACACCAGCCCACACTCAACATGCCCACCAACACTCAGCTATTTGAGGGTCTACTCTTTAGGCATTTTTGTATATAAACTTGGGACCTCTAAACTATTGGTGGGTAAGTAGTGCTGTTATGGCCACCAGAGCGTTGGCGCTTAAATGTTGAATGCTGGAAGAATTGGAAAAGTCCCATTTTCTTCCATGTATTTGCTGGGGCATATATAAATATTCTTGGAGGGTCTCCTATCCCACCCAGGACCAGGCTGATTCCTGCTTTCCTTTAGCAGCAGGGTGGGATCATTCCTTGCTTTTCACTCACACCTGCAAATATGTATGTATGACTTCAAAATTGTGGTAATAGTACCCACTTTGAATGGTTATCAAATGGGATCGGGCAGGTTCTACTTCCTGAATCCTTGTTTGCTGGGAAGGGATAGGAGAAGGGGTTCTAGCCCTCCAGACCAGGCCAATGGGCTTCCCAAATGCTCTCAATGGCCATTGAGGGAAGGACAGTGCTGGACTTGATGGACCCAGAGGTTGGTCCAACAAGGTTGTTCTTGGTGCTTTCTTAGGACTGACTGATTGATGACATTCCAAGAATGCTTCCTAGATTCCTAATTCTCAAAAGAGTTTGCAGTCAATTAAAAAAAGAAAATACAAACGTGAGCTTACATTTGTCTTCGCAGATCCAGACACTGATGGGCCGAGCAGAATATCTGAAAGAACAGATCAAGGTATGGGGGGGATGGAGCTGGCTTCAGTTGCCTTGCAAATCAGGATGCGCCTAAAACCCAGAGCAGAGGTGACTGTGAAAATAAGTGCGGTGGCAAAAGGAAATTATTGGAGGCATTGTGGGCGTACAGATGGCTTTCTAGAAGTCTGAGCATAGGAATAGTGTGGGAGCTGAAATAATGGGAAGCCCTGAACTCAGTTCCTAAGTAAAATCGCCTGTCCAAGGAAATGCCATCACTTCTCCATCGTGGTGGAATCACCCTAGCATCTGTGGGCATCTGTGGATACCTCTGGGTACCCTTGCCACCATGCCATTCAGTCAAATGGGCCTTGCATCTCCGTTTGGCTTCTAGATGAAAACCCTGGAGATTTCCCATGCTTCGCTGAATGTTGGCCTAGAAGGGATGGGAGCAAATCAGGACTTGCTCCGTTGCCTTTGTGTCCTACTTCTTGAAATATCCAGCGTTTAGTTTGCTCTGGCAAGAGTGGCTTTCCATGCACCTAGCAGAGCTCTCATGTTCAGAGGTGGCATGTCTTAAATTCTAGCAGCTGAAGGGACTAGGTGAGGCTCCAGGAGAGCAGATTATAGCTTCCGGGACACTTAGAAGCTCAAAAGAAACCACGATCTCTTTTCCTTACAGATCAAGGAGTCGCGTTGGGAAGCCGAGTCCATCGGAAATGAGGGCCTCTCCGAGTCTGTGAGAAACTGTAAGTCTGATGTCGCGAGTGACTTCTCTTCTTTGGACACACATTTAGAACTGGTGCCCCATGTCCTGTCTCCATCTGCTTTCCCTGGTTTTAAGATTCTGGCTGGGGTTGCCTGTTGCCTTAAGCAATAATGTGATCTGTGGGGTATTGTGTGACTCCAGTCATCATGGCTAGAATTGGATGGACCCAAATTAATGTAGAGAACTAGGTTGATGTCGTGCAGTGTTTCTCAACCTTGGCCACTTGAAGATGTGTGGACTTCAACTCCCAGAATCCCCCAGCCAGCCATGCTGGCTGAGGAAT